AAGCAAAGGCACAGGGGGTGTCAAACAGTTTCCCTGGCTATGGCTGAGGACATGCTGGATGTGTTGGTACCAGCCCTGAAAATCCTTCCCCCGGAGCAGGAGGCAAGGGCCAAGCCTCTGCTCTGCTCACCGGCTCTGTTAACAAGGGCTGTGCTCCCGAACACGCCGAGCGAGCACCCGGCTACGGAGTTTCAGAGCTCAGTAAAGGGAGACATCAGGACAGCCCTTGATGTGCTGGCAGGGGCTGAGCGCGGCAGGGGAACGGGGAGGTGCTGGCTGGCTGGCAATCCCGCGGGAGCCCAGCGCCGGGGCCGAGCAGCTGGCAGAACCGCTGGTAACGCTGCGCGCTGGAGAGGAGAGGTGGTGGCGGACACCAGCAAAAAATCGTGTTCCTGATTCTTCTGGATGGATGCTGCATCCCAGAGCAGGGATGACATCCTTGGGAATCTGGGTCATCCCTTCTCCACCTGGCCAGGGGTTGTCTTCCACCTCCAAACCACTCCACTGTCCCTAGGGATTGGGGACACGCAGCCAGGCTCCAGCCAGCTCCATCCTCACCGTGTGTCCACCTCAGAGGTAAAAGCCATGTTTTAGGACCATTTCCCAATGCCCACGGACCCTTCTGGGCCTCATTGACTCCTCTTGGCAGAGCTGTAGGAAGGGTGCCTGGTGCAGGGGGAGATGCTGGTGATGGGGTCCCTGCATGCTGCGTGCACCCAGCAGGCAGGGATGCAGGCAGGGACAGTGGCTTGGCAGCAGAGAGGGACAGGGACACGCGTGTGGAGGATGAGGGTGATGCTGTGGATGAAGGCACTGAGCGAAGGGGATTGCAAGAGCTGTAGGAAACCAGTGGCATGTAGGAAAGCCACTTTGGCACTGCTAATTAATTTATCTGATGAAAGCTGTTCTTATTCCTAGCCTAAAGGTTCATCTACGCAGCCAAGAGGCTTTGAGCTGAACGCACACACATGGTAAGGGAAGACAACGGTAATGAGGACTCGGAGGTGTGAGTTGTGCACACACAAGCGAGCAGGATGTGCCTCTGAGGGTTGCTAGCTTGTGCCCAAATGTACTTGGCTGCATTATTGCTGCTGGGTCCTCTCCCAGCCCAGCTGGGTGTCCTGGTCCCCCTGCCCCGGGGTTCCACAGCACCTGGAGCGTTAGGGCCCCTGGGCACGGCTTAGCCTTGCGCTGGGGTCTGCTCCCCAGGCTGAGGCAGCGGGATGTGGCTTCACCTGGGGGAAGACCAGCTCCACCTCTTCAACCTAGAAGTTGGATCAGCGTGTGGACCAGGGGGTTGACTCTTTTCCCTCCAGCCCTCCCACACCAGAGCTAGAGATGCTGTCCACAACCATCCCCACGGGTCTGTGAGCCCTCAGGGAGAGGGCACAGGCCAAACTGTGCCACGGGGGCAAGCAGGCGCCTCCCTCTCCTTACTCCAATTGAATTTGCCTCTTCTATCACCACTGGCACTGACATGGCGTAGGCCCTTCTCACCTTGGCCTGGGAGCTGTAAACACAGGCAGCACCCCTTCCCCAGCCTGAAAATAGGATGATAGACTACAGGTGGCTGGGAGGAGCGGGGAGGAACGGTGAGACAGCCCTCGGCATAATAAATAGCAGCACCACACACCACCTGCCTACCCATTATCAGCTGCTTTGTAGGCACCCAAGCAGAAAGGAGTTGGAAGGCTACGTTTGAAAAGGGACGCAGAGAGACTCCAGGCTGCGTTAGGGAGAGTTTCTCCCACGTAGAGGGATGAGAAAACATGAAAGCACTGGTAGGAAAATCCAGCCAAAAAAAAGGTCTACCAGTGGTGGCTGGGGGCTCGGCTGAACCCTCCTGGCAACTCTGCAGCTCGCTGGCGTTTTTTTCCCCTGCAGTTTGCAAACAGGGTAAGTATCGAGGGTTTAGGCACTTAGGGGGATGAAGCCAGCAGCTTCTATCCTCTTTCCAGCTGGGAAAGGGGTGGCTGGTCTTGAAGACTTCTTCAGCGCAGGGTCAGCTCTGCAGGGTCTGGGGGAGAGGAGGGCGGGAGGAGATGTGGTGTCTCTCCTCCTGCACAGAAAACAGGTTCCCAGTGACTGCAGTGGTATTGCACCTTAATTATTTCCTTTGGATCTGCTACTGGGAATGGTTGTGTCCTTAAAGTTGTTAAAAGGGCGAAAGAGAGAGGAAAAGCAATCCTGACATCCTGTCCGTTGGGTCCAGATGTAGCTCGCAGAGTACAAATGAGCTCGTGTGGAATGAAATCACTTAAAAAGAAATTTAATGAGAGGGGTATGCAGGCATCTGGTTTCTATCAATCATCATTTTGTGTGATATGCAATGGTAAATATTATCTTTTTAATGACTCCAATGAAGCAAAAGAACCCAAACCACACACATGTAATGAGCCAACAAAATTCCAGAGCCTGAGATGTTTCAACTCTGAAAAAATGTTCTGTAGATGGAAAAACCCCAACTGACACCTCTCCTAATTCTCTGTTTGAGTTATTTTATTTTTTCCTTTTTTTTAAAAAAAAAAAAAAACAAAACCCCTCCTTTCCTCTGGTTATATTTAACCTCTGTGTTAAATTAATCTTCTCTGTTTATCAACAACTACTACTGAGTGAGCCTCCTTCCCTCTTTCTTGGTTTGACAGCTCAAAAACCTGTTCCAGGCCGGAAGCTCTTGCTGCAGGCCGCCTGCCTTCCTCCAGCCGTGTGCAGAGGCACTGGCCGAGGAGAGGTGGCTGGCACAGATTTGCTTTTTCAACTCGGAGCAAAGGCGGTCTGGGCTCCCCCGTTTCAGTTCCCTGTCGATGAAAGCGGGCAGGCGGTGGATGGGGTTGAGCACATGAGCCAGGGGTTCGCTGGTTTTACATCCTCCTTGCAGGTCCCTCAGGAAAGACGCTGGATTTGGCTCCTACAGGGACACCACCCTGAGGGTCTGAGAAGGAAGGAAAGGTTGGAAAGCAGTTTCTCAGATCCTTTGCAGGCCTGGTCTCACCCAGATTGGCAGTTTTGGGGTTTGCTCAGTCTTTGCTCCAGGTGTAGCTGGCTGAAATCGGCAGAGAGGTGGAGGTGATGCCATGGGAGATGCACGGATCCTCTGCTTCTGATGGGCATTGGCTCCAGTGGCTCCTTTCGGTCCTTCTCTTGGTGGGAATGCTGTGATTCCTGGCAGTGCCGGGGTCAGTCCCTGCTTACTGTACCCCTTCTGCTGAAAGATCATGGCTCCTTCAGCAGAGTTTTTCTCGACTCATTCCCTGGGTCTTCACAGCACCGTGCCCTTGAGCTCTGACCAAATGAGGCTTTTTGGGGAGCTTCCCAGGGTGAACAGGGACTTGGGGTTTAGGGGCTTAGGGTAGTCTCTGGGCACCTGATCCCCATTCCAGCAGCAGCCCCTGCTCCCAGGAGGAAAAGATCTGCTAGTAGGGGTGGCAAAACCTGGGGTGCTCACTCTCCATCACTGGAGGCGATTGGTCTCAGCCAGCTAGGGCCAGGGGCTGCAGCAGCTTGTGGGGAGGGACAGGATGGGGGGAGAGGGATGCTGGGATGATGGTCTCATTAAAACAGAGAGAAACGTTTGTCCTTCTATTGGGAAATGCTTGGATCTCAAGTCCTGGCAACAGTGCTATCTGTGTAGCCCTGGCTGGCACTCCCCCAGCCAGAGGAGCGGTGTCCGCCCCAGCCACCTCTCTGGCAGCTCCAGGCTGAAGGGTACAGCCTGAGCATCTTTGTGGTGACAGGAGCTGAAGGCAGCCAGGCCTGGGAATGACTTCTCCCAACAGGAGAGAAGACGGAGGCAGAGAGCTTTGGCAGGGGAGGGGGGGGGGGGGGGAGAAGGCTGCACAATAACAACAGGAGTTTTGTCACGGGTTCTCCCCTGGGTTTTGAAAGCAACACCTCATCTCCCCCTTTCCACCTTCCTTCCTCCCCCACCCTTTCTGCCACACACTCTTCACACCTCCGAAACCTATTTTGGGCCGCCTGATGAATCCCAGATGCCTCGGAGAAGCAGCAGAAGCGGCGGTGCACTCCAGGCGCTGATTTAAGCCGCTTCCTTGGCAATGCCCCCAAGCTTTGGCAAGCCAGGAGAGCGGGGGAAGGAAGGGAGGGGGAAAAGGAGGATAATGAAGTGGTAAATGAGCCTGGTCCTCAATATTGCGATTATCCATGGGGTGGTGAGAGGAGAAGAGGATCTCCCTTGGTCCTGGAGGGAGGTAGCTATGGTTGGGAAAAGGGGTGGCATGGGTTCGCGTGGTTTGGGAGGGGGTTACGGCAGCCTGGGAGAGGGGAGGAGGCAGTCTGTCTGGAGCTGGGGATGATGGTGGACAGAGCTGGGAGCCCTCTGCCACCTCCTGAGCATCCTTTGCTGCTCCAGGCGAAAGGAGGCCCAGGAGGAGGCAAGGAGCTGGGTGAAAGCAGGGAGCAAACCTGCTGTGGTTCTCTCCTCTGTAAATCAGGCCGAAGGGGTGGTTAACGTGTCTGGAGCATCAGTGGCCCCAGCCCTGCGACTCCCCAGGGAGCTCAGCACATCAGCTGCAACTGCAGCTTTATTTGCATCCGCTGCATTTCACTGAGGTTGAGCGAATCCCGTAAAGAAGGGTCCCCAGCAGCGCAGAGGGTCTGGGAGGGTGTTTGGGGTATCCTTATGGCATCAATGAGCAGTGACGTGAGCTCAGGGCTGAGATCTTGCAGGAGGCTCTGGGGGGGCTGATCTGTGACAGGATGTCAGGAGCAGGGAGTGTTCCTGTGGGTGGTGATGCAGAAGTTAAGCCCATGGGGCCAGGAAGATGCTGTGAGACTGGGAAAGAGAGGCAGGGAGAGGCTGGCTGGGATAAAGGAAGGGTTTTGCACGCTCATCTCCAGCTCCGTGAGACAGTACGTGATGTTTTGATGAATGTGGGCATGTGTACAGCATCTGGCAGGCCCGAGTTGGAGTCTCTGGGTATCAAGAACTCTCTTGCCTCTGCTTTGTGGATGAATATCAAGCTGTGATACCCTTATATCAGGTAGGGAAGGCTGAGGAGAAAGGCGTTAACCTGTTGATTTTTAGGCAGCTAAATGCCACAGCTCATGGGGAATTCAATGAGAAACCAGCCTCGGCTGTGCTAGATGCAAGGGGGTGGTTTCCAGCATCACCACCACTCCCTGCTTGGCTTTAATCCGCTCTCACCCTCCTGACTGTATTTTGTGTCTATTCTTTCTTGAAGGTTTTTTGTCAACTTCCCATCGGCCAAGCAGTACTTCAGCCAGTTCAAGCACATGGAGGACCCATTGGAGATGGAGAGGAGCTTGCAACTGCGTAAGCACGCTCGGCGGGTCATGGGTGCCATTAACACTGTGGTGGAGAACCTCAATGACTCCGAAAAGGTCTCCTCTGTCCTGGCTCTGGTGGGCAAGGCCCATGCCCTCAAGCACAAAGTGGAGCCCATTTACTTTAAGGTAAAGGATGGGAGCAAAAAACCAAAAAAAATCTCTGGGATGCTTTAGAAATTAGGAAGAGGGCAAAAGAGGGAGCTGTGTTGAGCTGGTGCTGCCTGTCCTTGCCTGGAGGAGGTTGGCTGGTCGTGGGGGTCGCTCCCACGGCGATGCTGTCCCACACAGACCACTATTCCCAAACGCAGCCAACGCTGGGGCATCACGTACCTCACCCTGCCCAAGGAAACCTGCCTGCCTGCAGCCCTGGCATGGCTGGGGTTGTACATCCCTTCTTTTGGAAATCAAGAATGGTAGAAGGGACTAAATTGGAGAAGCCCAGTTTGGAGAGGTGCAAGCAGCACCCCATCGCACCTGGGTCTCAGCCTCCTCCCTGCCTGGGCAAGGCTGGTTACCTGTCCTGTCTGTTCCCTTGGGTGTCGACAGACCTCCCGAAAGTCAGAGGGTTGTCATTCCTAGAACTCAGACACAGGATTAAACTGAGGTTTTTAGGAGAAAGCTAAATTTGCTGTTAGCCGCCCCCTGGAGAGTTATTAACCGCTCGCTGTCCGCATCCCTCCAGAAACTCACTGGTGTCATGCTGGAGGTCATTGCTGAAGAGTACGCCAACGACTTCACCCCGGAGGCACACGGCGCCTGGACCAAGATGAAGACCCTCATCTACACCCACGTGACGGCAGCGTACAAGGAGGTGGGCTGGGCGCAGTACCCCACCGCCACCCTGTGAGCAGCCAGCAGGGCCGGGCGAGGGGCAGGGAGGGCTTTGCTCACCCCAGGACTTCACTCTGGTCTCTTCTCAAGATCTTCGCTCAGTCTGGGGAGCCTGGTAGGGCCAGGCTGTTAGCTGCCAAGTCACAATTTGATCTCCATGGGGTTTAAAAACAAATTAAATAAGCCAAAAAAAAATAGAACCACGGAGGGTGTGGGTGGGTCAGGGTGAAGCGGTTGCAGGGGATGCTGGAAAGGAATGTGGAGCACGAGGGGAGAGCATTGTTTGTTGGCTCCATCTTACTGTCCTGGTCTGTCCATCACCACCTCCCAAACCCTGCACCTCACTTGCACCGTCTCAAAGTCCCTTGCACAAGCTCTGCTGCGCAGCAGTGACGTGCAGCCCCGTTTGCCGACCAACATCGTGACCTGCGTTTACCATGCGAAGCTCCCGGGTAAACTTTGCTCCTGACTTTTAGGGGGTGCGGTGCTTCGGGGGACCACCGGCTGCCCGGCTGGCACCGCTTTGCTTTGCACTTTACGCCGTGGGCAGGGGAGCAGGGCTGGTGGCTGTGGCCAGAGCTGCTCTCGGCTGCCATCGCCCTGTGCCATGGGCTGGCAGCAGCCCTCTGCTCTCCCATCATCCGCAGGCCCTCTCCTTGGCTGGCTGTTGGAAACGCTCCTGGGGCTGGAGGTAGCAAGGGGGTGGGAGAGATGTGCTCCCCCCAGCACGAACGCGTGGGAGAGGAGGGGGGATGCCTTTGGGCTGCTTCTCTCATGACTCAGCACGGCATGTAGGTGGGATCCCCGTGCCAGATGCGGGGAGCTGATGAGCCCACCCGCCTCCGTTCAGCTCCCGTGGGCAGCAGGGACGTGCATGAGGATGGGCTTAGGTGGCACAGGTTGTGCCATCGCCCCAGGGGTTGGCACGTGTCAACCTGTCTGTCCGGCAGCCAGCAGCAGGACGGTGCAGGGCCAGGGCGGCTCTGCCCCGCTCAGTGAGAAGGGGGGGTTCAGGCTGTCGTCTGGGAAAGATGAAGTGGAGGGAACGAAGTAGCAGGAGGGATTCCTAGGTGTGAAGAAAGGTCCCTGCTCTGTTAAAATGAATAAGTAACTTGTTACATAGAGCATATTCCTGCCCTCTTGGTGACACTGGGTTCCTTCAAATAAAGTGCCTGGTAGAAATCATCCCATGCCGGAGCTGTGTCCCGCCACGGGGGCCGGCGGCGCTCCTGCCTGTGCCTGGCAAAGGGCTCTCCCCCACCAAAACGAGACGTGGCTGCAGGGCTTGCGGCACGCATCTTGCCTCCAATGCCGACTCCTCCCAAAGCTGTGGGTGAGTCGGCTTGGGTTTGCTGCCTCAGTTTCCCCTTTGGTTACAAAAAAGGGAGGATGAGCAGCCCAGCCCCGTTGCTTCCTGCACATGTGCTTGGATTTATAGGATGCTCTGGGGACTGATTCCCAAAGGATTAAGGATGTGCTAGGAAGCTTTGGCATCCTTGCCACCCAGTGTTTCCCAAAATGTCACTGTTATTTTTAAAGCTCTAATGTTAAGGGCAATGTTACCTGCTTAGGAGGGGGTTGCCTCTGGCCTCACACCACTATTGCCCTCGGGAACAGGCAGTTTTCCAGGGGAGATCGGCTCCTCTCCTGGATGTCAGCTTGGCAGGCAGCAAGCCGACGGTCCCGGCTGGGATCCCCATGGCTGCCCTGGGGACATCCCCAGGGCTGACCTCGCTCCTCCAGAGCAGCTGGCCAGAAAGTCCTGCTTTCCTCACCCACAGCCAGCTCATCTGTGCTTTTAATCATCCCCAGGGAATAGGGTTTTTTTCCTCTTTCTGGTGTTCCGTTTCCATGCCAAGGGGCTCCTCTGCCCTTCAGCACTGGCACAGCCCGTGGGGGGCCAGGACTGTGTGCCCACTCCCAGAAAAGCTCTCAGTGGGGTTTTCCCCTTTCCTCTGCCGGCTCTAACAGCAGGTTCTGCTTGAGGCCTGTGGGAGCCCATACAGAAGGGCAAACCCCTCACCCCGTGACTGCTCCTCCCATGCTCGTGCCAAGCCGTGGGCATAGCCCGCGCCTGGGCAGGACCCCGCGGGACGGTCGTTACGAGTGGCAGCGGGGCAGGTGTCCTCTCCTGTTCCTCTGGGCTCCGTTAGATGCTGCCGGGAGTTAGTGCCATTGCCCGGGTAAAAGGGGCCCTGGGGAGGGCTGTAAAGCTCCTGGCTGCATTCCCCAGTGCTCCTTTGCCTTCCTGCAGAGCCCTGGCACTAGGCTTAGTCCCAGAATAACCCCAGGATTAACTAATGCCACTACAGCCACTCTCTCTGGCCTTGCAGTTCTTTCTTTCCGATGTCCCACAAACAGTTGGAGAGGAGTGCTGGAGCCAGGAGCGAGGGCACGTCCTGGGTGTCCTTAGAGGGTTGGGTGGAAAGAGCTGCGCAGGGCACGGTTGTCCTTGTCATGGCAGCGTGCGAAGCCAGGGATTTATAAAAGGAAGGGACACGCACAGGGTGACAGGTGATGGGGCAGGCTGTCCTGTAGGGTCAGCACCCCTGAAATTCAGCCCACCAGCCTGCACTCCCGAAGGTGCCGGCATCTGATGCTTCCAGCTGACGTCCGAGTGTCGAAGCAGCCGCTCACCCCTTGCACGCTTGGCAGAGGCACCTTCCAGCCTCGGCTGCTGGCCCATGAGATGGGAACAGGCCTGTGCGCTCCTTGACTTTGCTCCAGCGCGACACTGGAGAAGAATCGCTTGGAGCAAGAGTCTTCCATAATTTTGTTGGGTGCATCATGGGATTCTCACGAGCACAGCTTCACTGATTTCTGCCAAAACCTCGGGGCCAGAGGCGCATATTTTTGATGAGTTCATGTAGTCCCCGTGCTCTGTGGATGCTGGGCCAGGGATGATTCCATACAGGGATGCTTCATCTTTAGACAAAGTTCACGCATTAACCTTTGAGGTTAATGTTCTCCAGGCGGGAATTTTATTTTTCAGTACAAACCCTTCTTTTCCCTTCCCATAACCAAAAGTGGGCTTGGTCACATTGAGCAGGGAAGTGATTTGGGGGGGGACTGGAAAGTCCCCGTGTTCATGCCTGACCCACCCGAGTGCCTTGGCTTTGGGGGAGCAGCAGTGAGGTCCCCCCACCTCACCTTCAAACGGGGCTTGCTTTCTTCTTTTTTGGGTTTTTTTTTTTTTTTTTTTGCATCCCTAGAAAAAGCTGACCCATGACCTCATGCGCCCACACGTGTGTGCATGCTGGGCTTGGGGATTTTTCCGGGCACATTTTTCTAAAGCAAATCCAGATGTGTGCAGCTGCTGTCCCTCGAGGAGGCCGCCCCCCCCATCAGCCAGATTGCAGGCCAGTCGAATATATGCAAACAAAAACATGTTTATTTTTACCAGCTCTGTAGGACGTAAGATGAAGCGGGGAGGGCAGCCTGGGCAGAGCTCGCACGGGGAGGAGATGGAGATAAAGCAAACGCCCCCTCTTCACCGCCCGCGGTGGAGCAGGCATTGCTTAATTCGGGGAAAATTCTTATCTGGGGAGAGATGAAAATGAACAGAAAAAAGGAAAAAAAATACCATTCCAGAGTGACAGGGCTGATAAATGCCATGTGGAAGAGCAGGAAGGAGGCCGGGTGCTGGCTCTGAGCGTGGCTCTCTGGCACACGTGCCTGTCCAGCTGCTCCCTGTTACCACCAGCCCCATCACCGCCCTGAACCCACCGCAGCCACCTGGGGACCCCCTTTTCCCCCCTTCCCTTCAGGCCTTGCTTGCTGGGGCATGGCATTTCACCTCTCAGTGTGCTTGGGTTGGGATCAGGGCACTGCCCATGCACGCTTTGGGCTTGGCTTCGCTCTCCTTGGGACCGACTTTTGTGTTCCCCCCAAAATTCATGGGTGAGAAGCTGAGGGCTCGGAGCATGGCGCTGGCACGAGCTGGGGACCAGCCAGTCTCTCCTCTTCCCTTTGGGGGGACCCTTGTGTCCCCCAGCCCCATTTGCCTTCCCCAGGGATGTTGCTGCTCCTGCACCCTCTGCTCTCTGATGCCTGTGCCGTTGCGGCTGCCCCCACACAAACCAGCCGAGCTCAGCTCAGCGCTGACACCCCTGTACCCAGGGCAGGACCCGGCCCCTGGCTCAGCCAGCACCTCTGCTTTAGCATCAGCGCTGGGCTCGGGCCCAAAGTCTGTGCTCTTGCCGGCAACAGATGAATGCTGAGGGAGGGGGTTTGGTGCCCCCAGGGCAGGGTTCCCCTGCACCGAGCACCCTGTCTTGGCTCCCTTTGGGGACACCTGCTCCTAACACGCAGTTTGTGTCCCCCCGGCCCCAGTTTGGCCCTGCGTTTGGTCAGAGGGAGCTCAGAGCTGGAGGGAGAAGGAAGCGTTGGGTGTGGGATGGGACACGATGCCTGTCCATCCTGTGTCCCGCTCATGGCATGTGTAGCTCCAGACGCACTCAGCCGGCTAGAGGGACACCCAAACGCCACCAAAGACGTTCAGACAAGGAGCCCTTAAGGACTTCCATCCCTGTCCTCTCTTTCAGAAGAGACAAATCCCTGAGGCAGCCAAGCTGTGGGCTCTCCCAGGGGACTCCTCTTGCATCTCTGCCAGTTTGCTCCAGTTTAGCCCAGTAAAGGGGATCCCAGCCTCTCCCTGCTCTCTGGGGAGGTACCCAGTGACTTCAGTGGGGACCAGATTTCAGCTGGCTGGTGCCTGGTGCCGGAGCTCAGCCTTCCCTGCCCCTTGCTGTGGGGAAGCCGCCCTGGTGCGCTGCTGTCAGTGCATCGACCTCTCGGGGCCAGCGCCAGCGATGCCGGACCCACAGGTGGAAGGAAGCCGGTGAGCTAACCTTGGACCAACTTAGCGGAAAGGGAGGGATAAAACTACCTGCCTGGGTCTGACCTATTTAACAGACTGCGACACTAATTATTTTTTCCATAGCTGAAGTTGTCTCTAATCGTTAGTATGTCTCAACCAGTCCCACCGTGACCCACAGACATGAGCCGGCGTGGTCT